ACATTCCCATCATATTAGACCATATCCTAGTCTGATTCAAAATGGCCAATACCAGCCCATTTCAGCTCACTGTTGCTTAGGATATCAATCTTTATGTTTCACTTCACCTTTTACAACTTTGAGTTTTCCTAGATTCATACTTCTTACATTTCATGTTCCAATTATTCATGGATGCTTCCATCTTTTCTTCTTCACTTTAGTCTTGTCACATTTGCAAAGGAAGATCCTGAAAGCTTTGCTCCATCTGTGACATTAAAATCATCTGTATTTTGAGGAGTCAGCTTTTCCTCATTTATATTTTGTATGCCTTCTAACCTGAGGGGCTCATCTTCTGGCAGCCTATCAGACAATATTCTCCTGCTGTTCATAAAGTTTTCTGGGGCCAATTTTTTCAGAATTAGACCTCTATTTCCTTCTTTCCAGTCTGTTTTAGTCTGGAAACTCTGCTGAAACCTGTTTATCATGAGTAACCTCTATGGCAATTGAAATACTGGTAGCATAGGTTCCAGCATCACAGAATGTGTAAGCCACTATAGTATAGCACACTGACAGAAGAGAAGTGGGATTTTGTTTTTAATATATATAAATTAATATTTTCATAAAGCTGGGAGGAGTGATATTAAACATTTTTATTCAAACCATAATTAGATTGAAGTTTTTTTTTAAAAGCTACCTATTTTAGGAATTATATAGAAAGGTGGAAAGTCATCTGTCTGGATAGATTTGATTTGATACCAGAGGGAAAAACATGTTATTGAAATTCTCAATAAAATACAACTAAGAAGAGAACATTTGCCCCCTAGTGTGTTCTTTAAACAATCCTGAGAAATATTCATTTTCAAAATATTTAACAATTTTTTCCACTTGACTAGAAAGTTATGTGTACACCTTGTTGTTGTTGTTGCTGTTAGGTGCTGTTGAGTCATCTCTGACTCACAGCGACCCCATGTACAGCAGAATGAAACACTACTGGGTCCTGTGCCAGCCCCACAATCTTTGCTATACCTCAGCCCATCATTGCAGCCACTGTGTCAATCCATCTTGTTGAAGGCCTTCCCCTTTTTTGTTGTTCCTCCACTTTACCAAGCATGACATCCTTCTCCAGGGAATGGTCCCTTCTCACAACATGACAAAAGTAGATGAGAAAAAGTCTGGCCATTCTCCCTTCCAAAGAGCATTCTAGCTTCACCTCTTCCAGGACAGATTCATTAGTTCTTTTAGCAGTCCATTGTACTTTCTGCATTCTTCTCCAACACCACAACTCGAAAGCATTGACTCTTCTTTGGTCTTCCATCTTGCCCATCTTTCAGTCTTCCTTTTTCATTGTTCAGCTCATTTGCTCTTACATGCAAATAAGGCAATTGGCTTGCAGTCAGGTGCGCCTTAGTCTTTAAGGAAATATCTATGCTCTTGAGCAAAGATATTTTCAGGAAAGATATCGTACACCTTGGGTGAGGGTATTTTAAATTTATTTTTAAAAATGCAATAAACATAGATTTATTGATATGATAAATTATTTAATGCCTAATCTATCTTGGGGAGCTCTGGTGGCATAGTGCTAAGGCATTTGACTGCTAATAAGAAGGCTGGTGGTTCAAACCCATCAGCCTCTCCTTGGAAGGAAGACTGGGCACCACCTCAGAAACCCAAGGAGGGATCGCTGAGTCTGATTTGATTTGAGGGTTTGTTTTTTTGGTGGTTTGGTCTATCTTGGGTTTAAAAACACTAATTTTATATGTGGATTTTATTTTGCAGGGTGGCAAAATATTTTGTTCCTTTTGATGAGTTTAAATTCTTGCTAAAATCATAATGTTAATTTCATAAAATGGAAATACTCAACTTCTTGGTAAACAAGATTGAAGAATAAAGTGATAGTATTGCAAATCCAGAGTTAATATAAAAACTTAATTTTAGAAAATTCAACTTCTGACTTTACACACTTTTCATTAAAATTATTTAGGAAGTCATCTGATAATCTGGCTTCTGAATTGTTCTGTTTCTGATATGTGTTTAAAATGGTAAAATTAAAATAATATCAGGCCATGAGGGTAATATGTTTATTCCTAAACATTATGAAGCCTAACGTATTTAGAACAATTATTTACAATTTCCCTTATTGATCGAGATGTTTATGATCATAAACATGTACATATAGACAAACACGCCTAACATGTTTAGATAATTTGATTGCTTGTAATCTATTAGTATAAAATTAATACATAATGAAAGCAAAAAAAAAAAAATCCTTATATTGTGACAAGATAATAGTATAGTGAAAATATCTTAGAATTTTATTTAAAAAAAGTGTTTGTATATTCATGAGGTAATCAGGATGTTAAAAGATTAGTAAAATCAAATTGTGGTTACGAAAGTGAAAATTTCAGTATGTACAATACTAAGGAAAAGTTTTAAAATTCTACTATAACATGAGGATGCAGTGGTATATTCAAGACCAGAAAACCAAAACCATTCCCACTGAGTTGATGCTAGCTAATAGTGACCCTATAGGACAGAGTAGAACATCCCCATAGGGTTCCCACAGCTGTAATTTTTACAGAAGCAGACTTCCACATCTTTCTCCTGCTGAGTGGCTTGTGGGTTGAAACTGCCAACCTTTTTGATTAGCACCCTAGCACTTAATCATTGTGCCACCAAATCTCTTTCATATTAAGACCACTTCCATTTTATTAGTAGCTCTCTTTGCAAACCTGCTTTTTATTATTTCATTTTATTCTTCTCTACTGTTGTCCATCTCTTTTTATAATGTTCTCAAACAATGGTTCGATTACTGAATTATTATGTGACTTATTGCAATCTAATTAAAAATAAATATGACATTAGTGATATGGTAGATAATTTTATTGAATGTATTTTTAAATTAATTATATATTGATGACTATATCAATATTCAACAATGGACTATGTGTCATTATTTATACTAATTATGGTATATAATATATATATATATATGTTTACCCAAAGTGGTTGTTGTGTAAAACTATTATTTTAAAATACTATTTTCACTAGCTAATTACTCCAACATATTATTTTTGTATTTTCTCCCTTAATTTTGTATAAAATATTTTTTTCAGTACTTTAAATGTTATGTCACTGCTTTCTGTCTTCTATGGTTTCTGATAAGGAATGACCTGTTAATATTCATATTAATGTTAATATTAATATTGAGGCTCACTTGTACATTTTGAATTTCTTTTCTCTTTCTGCTATAAAGATTCTTTGTGGCTTTGACTTTCAGCAGTTTGACTATAATTTGTGTCAGTGTGGATCTCTTTGAGTTTATCCTCCTAAAAGTTTGTTGATATTTTTGGATGTGTAAATTCGTGTCTTTCGTCCAATTTGGAAGTTTTTAGTCATTGTTTCTTAAACTATTATTTATGCCCTCTTCTCTCTCTTCTTCTTCTTCTTCAAGTTCACTGATTCTTCTACCTGCTTATATGTGCTATTAAACCCCTCTAGTGAATTTTGAAATTCTAATAATTATAATCTTACACTTTAGAACTTATATTTGGTTTTACTTTATAATTTCTGACTTTTTCTTGATACTCATTTTCTTCAAACATCATTTTTGGTTTTCTTCAGTTTTTTTTAAATTTTTTTCCCTTCACTTTCTTTGGCTCATTGAGCATATTTAAGACAGTTGATTTAAAGTCTTTAATTACTGTAGTGTGTGGGCTTCCTCAGGAAGTCACTTGATCCACCCCTACCCTTTAAACAGGACATCCTTTTTTTTTTTTTTTTTTAAGTTTTGTGATTATTTTGTTTTTTGTTGAAAACAAGATATTTGGATATTATAAGGTGGTAAATTTGGAAATCAGATTTTTTCCCTTCCCTAGGGTTTGCTGTTTTTAATTTTTAAAGATTAAGCTTGTATTTTATCTTGTTTTCAGCCAATGTTTTTACCGAGATTTCTGAGGATGGTGGAAGCTGAGAAAACAAATAAACAAACAAATCTCACATTTCCCAGTGTTTGCAGAATGACTCTTTTCTGAGGCAGTCTTTTAACATTCAGGCCATTTATAATAGTGTTAGCCTTCACTTCCTACTTGCACTGAGCCTATAGATAGGCTTATGGTGAAACACATATCCTATCCTGGGCATGCGCATAGCTTTCTAAATGCCTCTATACACGAAAGCTTGTGGCTGCCCTAGAAATTTCCCAAAATGACCTCTCTCCTCAGCTCGTCCTCCCACTCTTTATGTGGTCTGTTGCATGTCTTAACTTTAATCTTTTGTCTCAAGTGGCTGAACCACCGTATCATCATACAGTGTTTCTGAGCAATGCCTACTGCTTTTCTACCAGGAGTGGGTTCTAAATTAGGTGAAAACAGAGACAAGCACTAGCAAGGTTAGAATAGAACAACACAATACTCTGTGAATAAGGTCTACTCTGCTACCTCCACAATCAGATCAGGGTTCAACACTGGAATCTTTGATGGCTGTTTTCAAGACTGCTATTGAGCTGTGAGGGAAAGGCAAGGGCAAGTCATCAAGCCACAAAGCTTTCCTACCATTTTGATGTTGCCTTTTTCTTGATTCATCATTTGTTTGGTTAATGTAACCTTTTATTGTTTTTTGTTGTTGTTGTTGTTATTTGCCGTCAAGTCGCCCCCGACTCATACAAAGTTCAAAAAAGTTGGTTCTGAAAATTTATATATATTTATATATTTTAAGTTTCTGTGAAGGGATGGGAGTTCACAGGTTCACGTTCTACCATTTTGCTGACATCACTCTTTGTTTTTATACTTTTTCAAACAGACTTGGAATCTAGGAAATTCATTTCTATATAATTTGTGTGTTGTATATAATATCATTATTGCTGTCCTTGGATTGCTAAATTTGTTTTGTGGGCTAAATTTTAGACCCTTCTATTAGTTTTCCATTCTTTAGGCTCAATTACTATTTGGAGAAGAGATGGATGAACAATTTTAACATGAATACTAAGCCTTTTCATCCTTTTCCTCTGTTTTGTTTTGTTACAGAAACGCTTGAAACTCTCATCAAACAAGCAGAAAATTACACAAGCATACTTTTTTGCAACACCTATAGGAACATAGCCTTGGAAGCTGCTGCTTCAGTTCAGGAGTTCTTCACTGATGTTGGACTCTTTTTATTTGGTGCAGATGTTAACCCTGAAGAATTTGTAAACAAATTCTTTGATAGTCTTTTTCCTCTGGTTTACAATCATTTGATTAACCCTAGTGTGACTGGCAGTTCCATGGAATATTCAGAATGCATCCGCATGGCTCGTCGGGATGTTAATCCATTTGGTAATATTCCCAAAAGAGTAATGGGGCAGATGGGGAGGTCACTGCTGCCTAGCCGCACATTTCTGCAGGCACTCAATCTAGGCATTGAAGTCATCAATACTACAGACCATCTACAGTTCTCCAAAGAGTGTAGCAGAGCCCTCCTGAGGATGCAGTACTGCCCTCACTGCCAGGGCCTGACTCTCAGTAAGCCTTGTATGGGGTACTGCCTCAACATCATGAGAGGCTGCTTGGCAAACATGGCAGAGCTTAATGCACACTGGCATGCGTACATCCGGTCATTGGAAGAGCTATCAGATGCTATGCATGGAACATATGACATTGAACATGTGCTCCTGAACTTCCACTTGCTTGTTAATGATGCTGTGATGCAGGCTCACCTCAATGGACAAAAATTATCTGAACAAGTAAGTAGCTATTCCATGTTTCTTTTCTAATATTATCAAAATTTATAACCTAAAGGTATATGTGTGTGTGTGTGTGTGTGTGCTTGCATGTGCAAACCTACTAATTACTGGTTACATAAAAGATAGTTCAACTATATTATGTGCTTTAAAATCATGGCAAGCTAACAAGTTTATACTTCAGGAAATATTAGGAGAATGTGTAGATTGTTATTTTTGATTCACAATATTATTTTTATATCTTACATTATGACTTTTGTTAGCTAAAATGCCACTTTCTCCCCTAAACTGAAGCCTTCTTATAGAAGTTACTTTGGCGTGGTGGAAAGAGCTCAAATTTAAAAGCAGGAGGGAAATGTATTTTGATCTGCAATCTGCCAATAATTAGCTATGTGACATTAAGCAAACCACTTAACCTCTTTAAGCCTCAGTTTCTTTGTTGATAAAAAGGAAACAGTAATACATAATTTTAGAATGTTCTTTTTTGTATAAATAGCCAATATTTATGCAAATGACCTAGAATGGTTCCTGGTAGTCAAAAAATTAGTAGTTATTGTTAGAATTTCAAAGGCATTCAGTTTTAAAATAGAAAATACTGTTATGTATCCATTAAATAAAGGACCTCTGGTGGCATAGTACCTGAGGCATTTGACTGCTTACCAGAAGGCTGGCAGTTCAAACCCACCAGCCACTCCTCGGAAGGAAGGAAGGGCAATCTACTTCCGTAGTGATACCGCCTTGGAAACCCAAGGAGGGGTTGCTATGAGTTGGATCGGACTCAATGGCAGTGAGTGTTTTTTTTTTTTTTTTTCTTTAAATAAAGACTTGAAAATGCTATTATGTATCCATTAAATTAAGACTTGATAGCTTGGTGTGCAGAAATGCTCTTTCAGAGACTATGCAGAATCTGTCCAAGTGATGATGTCATGATTTTTGAAAATTATATATATATACAGAATCATGGTACTTTATTCCAAGAAAACCTTTAAGAAGATTTTGAACATAGTTATAAAGTCAAAGCATATGAGAGTCTTCTATTTCTCCCACCTTCTGTAAAGAGCCATTTTCTTACATATTTACAGGTCCCTTAGTAATAGTTCTTCTATGCTTTACAGTGAAATAGTACGTGCTACTGACATTTCTCCTAAATCTTTTCTTCTTAAATAAAATTATACTCCTCTTTCATTTTCTAAGTGCTAAAAAAATACATCTCCCTACCCTGGCACTGATTCACTGAATTGATAAATATTGTCTTCATTGTCTATATAAGTCCTTTAATTAATTTCTTACAGAAATTGAATCTGAAATTCTTTATATACTACCACCTCCTTCCCATCATTTCCTAACTTCTGATGTCCTTTTGGGGCCTGTGTGTACCTTTAAGATACACCTATGCAAATTAATAATGGCACCCTCTTTGCATGGATTCAGCTCTATAGTATTGCTTGGGATTTCAGCCTCCATGCCCCAGTCCATACAATTGGGCATCTTTATACAGTGAACAAGCTTCCCAATAGTATGTGGTGGTCTAGATGTTTTTCTCTTCTCTCATCCCTTTATGACAATCAGATGTGGACCAGAACTTCTAGAAAGGACATATAGTGAAACCCGCAAAAGTAGGGACCTGTGTAAGGAGGAAAACTGTCAGAGAAAGAAAATGCAAATATTTTCCACTAAAAAGAGAGATAGAAAAGTGATAAGACTGCACCCTGTCAAAGGCAGAAAACTTGTAAGACCTGGAAAAACAAAACAGTGCTGTCAAGTTCTGGTTCTGACAAGTTTCACTGTCAAGACTCACTCAAAATGAGGTACAAAAGATTTGAAGATTTAAAATGCTTCATAGTTGTGAGGAAAACTTATTAGTATTCTGAAAATAAAATGCCACTGTTACAATATCAAATATTTCTGAAAGGGAATATAAAACCAAGAAAACCAAACCTGTTGTCATTGAGTAGATTCCAACTCACAACAACCCTATAGGACAGGATAGAACTGCCCCATAGAGTTTCCAAGACTATAAAACTTTGCTGAAGTAGATTGCCAAATCTTGCTCCTGCAGAGTGGCTAATGGGTTTGAACTGTACATCTTCTGCTTAGAAGCAGAGCATTTAATCTCTGCACCATCGAGACTCCTTAAAGGGATAATAGGTACACGAAATCTGAGACTAAGTCCGGATTTGATTATTAATTTGGGGCATACTATTTAACGTTTCAGGGTCAGCACTTTCCTATCTCTAACTATCAGCAATACCTTTTTATCATGGGTTTTGAGACCTAGGGTGTCTCCTTTATTTTTCTGCATCCTTAAAATCTACCACATATAAATTGTCTATTTTTCTCATTTTAAATACTGAAATAACTAAGATTTGTAGTTAGACATGGATGGTTTCAAATCCTGACTATGCTACTTATTAGCCATGTGGCCTAGGCAAGCCACTCAAACACTTTGAGTCTGTTTTGTCCTTTGTGAGAAGGAAGCAAGTAACAGTATCAATGGAGTAATGTTGGTAAGACTGACATCATCAGGCAATCGATACCTGACAACTTTTCTCCTTTCTTCCTCTAAACTATGAAAGGTCAGTCAAGCAAGTCAATTTAGTATCTTGTAGAACTAGCCAAAAACCAGAAAAAAAAAAAAAAA